ATGTAGGCACTACTTTAGACCAAAAAAATGCACCCTTTTTAGATCAACGGGTTTCAGTGCCTACTTTAACCAGAGAATGCACCTATTTCCTATGTATGCCTACTTTAAAGACCAGAGAATGGCACCCTTTTCCAGTTGCACTACTTTAGGACCAGAGAATTTTTTGGTACCCAATTCCCTATAGATGCAACTTAGCCAGAGAATGCACCCTTTTTCCTATGTAGTGCACTACTTTAGACCAGAGAATGGCCCCCCTATTTCCTATATAGTGCACTACTTGACCAAGAATGCACCCATTTCCTATTATGCCTACTTAGACCAGAGAATGGCACCCTTTTTCCTTTAGGCACACTTACCAAGAGGCACCCATTTCATTAGTGCACTACTTTAGACCAGAGAATGGCACCCTATTCCCTATGTAGTGCACTACTTTAGACCAGAGAATAGCACCCTATTTCCTATGTAGTGCACTACTTTTGACTAGGGCCCATTTAGGACAAGACCTCTGTGAGTTGAGCTGGTAACTGCAACCTGCTGATTAAACTCCAAACGTTCCTATGTACGTAGAGATAACTCAGCCTGTCGCCCTCAGACTGACGTAAGGTTGCTGTGAAACACCTTGGGAGGGGCTTCTGAGCCCAACTGAGCTTCTGTAAAAGTGCTCTCAGATCCTTGGATGAATTAAATATAAAATGATACATTTAAAAAATCAGGGCCTTCAAAATAATCAATACTTTATCGCTCAAAATGTGAAATCAGATCTGTTTCCCTTACTTACACATGCATGCTATTTCAGCCAATTACTTGTGATTGGGGGGCTTTATATAAAACTATAATTAGATATTTAACATAGTACTTATTAATATGGTCATAACAGCATGTCAAGACAGGGTTGATGTGCAGTCCCAACTGTCTTATGCCATGTGGCAATTATACATCCAGTTATATGAACTTAACTTCTTAGTGATATGAACTTAATAATGCTTTGTTATTACAATGGCAGATTATTAATTAAAAAAGACCACAGCAGTAATCAGTCAAAACCGGCCAGTAGTCCTTTAGTCTTCCTGCTACATACCCCTGTTGAGGAAGGCACTGTCGATGGTTTGAATATCCCTCATAGTCAACTGTACCCACTGGTTTTGACTGACAGCTGGGTGACAAGGTTCTGCATCTTAAAACAACCCTTTGAGATCGTGGTCTTGACAGAAGGATTTGTGGTTGCTGTGCAAAGCAACATTTCCATTTCCATGTAGGTGAAGATTCTATGTGTATCTTTTTCTGATACCTGAAATACAGAAAAACGTTTCCTGACCAGGTTGTGTCTTCATTTTCAGTTCACTGCTTTAGGTAAAACCACAGAGTTACTTTGGTGTTACCCTTTGAAAGTCTTCTTGTTTCTCATTTTATCAGTCTTTCAGTCTTTCTTCTATGCCTGATCTAAAAGTCCATTGCACCTCTCTCTCTGTTCTTAAAGTCCATGGCACCTCTCTCTGTTCTTAAAGTCCACGGCACCTCTCTCTCTGTTCTTAAAGTCCACGGCACCTCTCTCTCTGTTCTTAAAGTCCACGGCACCTCTCTCTCTGTTCTTAAAGTCCACGGCACCTCTCTCTCTGTTCTTAAAGTCAATGGCACCTCTCTCTGTTCTTAAAGTCCATTGCACCTCTCTCTCTGTTCTTAAAGTCAATGGCACCTCTCTCTGTTCTTAAAGTCCATTGCACCTCTCTCTCTGTTCTTAAAGTCCACAGCACCTCTCTCTCTGTTCTAAAAGGCCATTGCACCTCTCTCCTGTCTTAAAGCCACGGCACCTCTCTCTGTTCTTAAAATGCCATGGCACCCTCTCTCGCTTCTAAAAGTCCACGGCAACTTTCTCTCGTTCTTAAAGTCCACGGCACCTCTCTCTCTCTTCTAAAAGTCCATGGCACCTATCTCTCTGTTTTTAAAGTCCATGGCACCTATCTCTCTGTTTTTAAAGTCCACGGCACCTCTCTCTCTGTTCTTAAAGTCCATGGCACCTCTCTCTCTGTTCTTAAAAGTCCACGGCACCTCTCTCTCTGTTCTAAAAGTCCATGATCTCTCTCCTCCTGTTCTAAAGTCCATGGCCACCTCTCTCTCTGTTCTTAAAGTCCACGGCACCTCTCTCTCTGTTCTTAAGTCCATGGCACCTCTCTCTCTGTTCTTAAAGTCCACGGCACCTCTCTCTCTGTTCTTAAAGTCCACGGCACCTCTCTCTCTTCTAAAAGTCCATTGCACCTCTCTCTCTGTTCTTTAAAGTCCATGGCACCTCTATCTGTTCTTAAGTTCTTGGCAAACCTCTCCTCTGCTTTCTTGCAAAGTCCAGTTGGACACCTCTCTCTATGTTCTAAAGTGGCCACGGCACCTCTCTATCTGTTCTTAAAGTCCACGGGCCCATCAGTCTTCTCTTCTAAAACAGTCCATGGCACCTATCTCTCTTTCTTAAAGTCCATGGCACCGTCTATCTCTCTGTTCTTAAAGTCCACGGCACCCTCTCTCTCTGTTCTAAAGTCCACTGGCACCGTCTCTCTCTGTTTCTTAAAGTCAACCGGCACCTCTCTCTCTGTTTTACTAAGAAGCCATGGCACCTCTCTCTCTGTTCTTAAAAGTCCACTGGCACCTCTCTCTCTCTGTTTCTTAGAAAGTCCATTGGCACCTCCTCTCTGTTCTAAAAGTCCATGGTCCTTCTCTCTCTCTGTTCTAAAAGTCCATTGCACCTCTCTCTCTGTTCTTAAAGTCCATGGCACCTCTCTCTCTGTTCTTAAAGTCCACGGCACCTCTCTCTCTGTTCTAAAAGTCCATGGCACCTCTCTCTCTGTTCTTAAAGTCCATGGCACCTCTCTCTCTGTTCTTAAAGTCCACGGCACCTCTCTCTCTGTTCTTAAAGTCCACGGCACCTCTCTCTCTGTTCTTAAAGTCCACGGCACCTCTCTCTCTGTTCTTAAAGTCCACGGCACCTCTCTCTCTGTTCTTAAAGTCCATGGCACCTCTCTCTCTTTTCTAAAAGTCCACGGCACCTCTCTCTCTGTTCTAAAAGTCCATGGCACCTTTCTCTGTTCTTAAAGTCCATTGCACCTCTCTCTCTGTTCTTAAAGTCCATTGCACCTCTCTCTCTGGTCTTAAAGTCCATTGCACCTCTCTCTCTGTTCTTAAAGTCCACGGCACCTCTCTCTCTGTTCTTAAAGTCCCACGGCACCTCTCTCTCTGTTCTTAAAGTCCACGGCACCTCTCTCTCTGTTCTAAAAGTCCATGGCACCTCTCTCTCATTTCTTAAAGTCCACGGCACCTCTCTCTCTCCGGGTTGCTGAAGGTAGAAATAGCCTCCCCAGTTCAACCTGCTAAAGGTACAGGTAGCTAACCCAGTAGACTACATTGAACAGAGTGAAGGAGGTGGGGAATAAGACCCTGGAGTAAGCATCCAGCTCCAGTATATCTATCTGGATGTGTCCTTTCCTCCAGCCTCCTCCTCGACACTCATCGTAACAGCAGAAGAAGCTCTGGCAGTCCTTCCCATCCAGGCACTCATAGACACAGGTGTCCTCAAACTCCTGCCAGTACAGGGAGTTGTTATACGTGATCACTGTAGGGGGGGGTCCCACTTCCAACACTGAGTAGTTCTGGAGGGAGGGAGGGAGGGTGAGGGAGGGAGAGAGAGAAGGTCATTCGATATACGAGACTCAGCTACTCAATAGAGACACCGAGAGAGTAGAGACCGCTAGAGAGAGAGCGAGATCACCGAGATAGATAGATCGTCTCTCTCTCTCTCTCTCTCTCTCTCTCTCTCTCTCTCTCTCCTCTCTCTCTCTCTCTCCCCCCTCTCTCTCATACTCTCTCGTCGCTCTCCCTCTCTCTCGCTCTCTCTCTTCTTCTATCTCTCTCTCTCTCTCTCTATCTATCTCTCCTCTCTCTCTATCCCTCTCCCTCGCACAGAGACAGAGACAGAGACAGAGACAGAGACAGAGACGAGACAGAGAGAGAGATGGAGAGAGAGAGACAGAGACAGAGAGACAGAGACAGAGACAGAGACAGGACAGAGACCAGAGACAGAGACAGAGACAGAGACAGAGAGAGAGAGAGAGAGAGAGAGAGAGAGACTTGGTTAGTGGAGTGACTCTCTTGGAGCATCATGCCAGGACACAGAGACATTTACATTTTAGTCATTTAGCAGACGCTCCTATCCAGAGCGACTTACAGTTAGTGAGTGCATAAATTTTTCATACTGGCCCCCCGTGGGATATCAGGTTTGAGAGGAAGGAAGTGCACTGTCATGCGTTTAATCTGAGCAGTAAGCATCCAGAGAGGACTGACACTCAGATCTGGGAGCTGGGATCATCCAGTCTCCGTCCTAAATGGCACCCTTTCACTATATAGACACATCCCATAGGGCTTTGGTCAAAAGTAGTGCACTCTATAAGGAATAGGGTGTTATTTGGGACGACCTCCCCCATCCCTGACCTCATTCACAGACTTTAGACGTCTATCAATATCAGACAGAGTTGAGCAGCATCACAGACTCTAAAACAACTTCAGAGATAATATAACAGAACCTCTGTTAGAAGAGATCCATCAAAGGGGTTAAAAGTAAGAAACTGTCATATGAATACATTTAGGTGAGACTTTGAAGGCTGCTGTACTTCTTTAACAGCAGAGGTTTCTAAAATAATACTTATCGATAAATCTTTCATTGTTATATGACTAATATCAAGATCGGTTGGATAAAGCAGGCTCTGACTGATAAACAGGATAAGTAATCAAGGAGGTACGGTAGGGCGGGCCAGGCCCCGACCAATATATAGTATTAACCTTATCATTGTAATATTACTAATACATAAGTATACTGTAACTAATCAGGGGAAGTACTGTATAGGAGACATAATTCCCCATACATTATGGTAAACAAAGATTTTTTACTGCAGACATAAACTAATCCCAGACAGGAGTAGGTTCATATTGTCTGTGTTTAAGGGGCAGAGAATCCTGTGAGGCAATATGAGACGGGAGAATTGTTAATGTAATACTGTTCCTATCAGAGGAGATTAGTCAGTATGTCTCCATCATCTGAAAGACCTCTTGCCCCTGGGTCTGGGGTACGTCCCAAACGGCACCCTATTCCTTACATAGTGGACTACTTTTGTAGTGCGCTATATTGAAAATAGGGTGCCGTTTGTAGACACACACCGTGTCTCTGTTTCTCTCTGCAGGATCAGGGCCCATAGCTGGTTGAAGAGAGCTCTTGGAGGGGATAAGCTAAGTTATACTCCTCTGTGAATTGAGCCGAGCAACACTGCACTAAGAGGGCCAATACCAATCAAGGAATATATCATTACATTCCTTCATGTTCGTATTCCCTTATTCCCCATTATATTTTTAAATCCCACAGGATAGAACTGGACGGCCTCCTCAATCAGAAGATATTACAAGCCTGAAATCATGTCATTATCTTGGATGTGTTGTTCTTGTAATAATACTGTAGCAATGTTGACGGAAGTGGACAAATCATACTGGAAGACTGGATTTTATGATCCAGCTGTTGAACTATAATGTTGGTGAGTAAAACTGCCATGGTTTCTGAACTGTTTCTTAATGTGTTCTGAGGCCCATGCTTTGCTCATACATACCACGCTGACAGCCTTACACTTCTTTGTGTCTTTCTGGGTCCGTGGTTGTATCTTACCATTCTCTGGGTCTTCCTGGGTCTGGATCATACCATTCTCTGGGTCTTCCTGGTCTGGGGCTGTATCTTACCATTATCTGGGTCTTCCTGGGTCCGTAGTTGTATCTTACCATTCTCTGGGTCTTCCTGGGTCTGTGGCTGTATCTTACCATTCTCTGGGTCTTCCTGGGTCTGGATCATACCATTATCTGGGTCTTCCTGGGTCTGGGGCTGTATCGTACAATTCTCTGGGCCTTCCTGGGTCTGGATCATACCATTATCTGGGTCTTCCTGGGTCTGTGGCTGTATCTTACCATTCTCTGGGTCTTCCTGGGTCTGGATCATACCATTATCTGGGTCTTCCTGGGTCTGGGGCTGTATCTTACCATTCTCTGGGTCTTCCTGGGTCTGTGGCTGTATCTTACCATTCTCTGGGTCTTCCTGGGTCTGGATCATACAATTCTCTGGGTCTTCTGGTCTGGGGCTGTATCTTACCATTCTCTGGGTCTTCCTGGGTCTGTGGCTGTATCTTACCATTCTCTGGGTCTTCCTGGGTCTGTGGCTGAATCTTACCATTCTCTGGGTCTTCCTGGGTCTGGATCATACCATTATCTGGGTCTTCCTGGGTCTGGGGCTGTATCGTACCATTCTCTGGGCCTTCCTGGGTCTGGGTCATACCATTATCTGGGTCTTCCTGGGTCTGTGGCTGTATCTTACCATTCTCTGGGTCTTCCTGGGTCTGGATCATACCATTCTCTGGGTCTTCCTGGTCTGGGGCTGTATCTTACCATTCTCTGGGTCTTCCTGGGTCTGGATCATACCATTCTCTGGGTCTTCCTGGGTCTGTGGCTGTATCTTACCATTCTATGGGTCTTCCTGGGTCTGTGGCTGTATCTTACCATTCTCTGGGTCTTCCTGGGTCCGTGGTTGTATCTTACCATTCTCTGGGTCTTCCTGGTCTGTGGCTGTATCTTACCATTCTCTGGGTCTTCCTGGGTCTGTGGCTGTATCTTACCATTCTATGGGTCTTCCTGGGTCTGGGGCTGTATCTTACCATTCTCTGGGTCTTCCTGGGTCTGGATCATACCATTATCTGGGTCTTCCTGGGTCTGGGGCTGTATCGTACCATTCTCTGGGCCTTCCTGGTCTGTGGCTGTATCTTACCATTCTCTGGGTCTTCCTGGTCTGTGGCTGTATCTTACCATTCTCTGGGTCTTCCTAGGTCTAAGGTTGTATCTTCCCATTCTCTGGGTCTTCCTGGGTCTAGGGTTGTATCGTACCATTCTCTGGGCCTTCCTGGGCTGTGGCTGTATCTTACCATTCTCTGGGTCTTCCTGGGTCTGTGGCTGTATCTTACCATTCTCTAGGTCTTCCTGGGTCTGTGGCTGTCTCTTACCATTCTCTGGGTCTTCCTGGGTCTGGACCGTACCATTCTCTGGGTCTTCCTGGTCTGTGGCTGTATCTTACCATTCTCTGGGTCTTCCTGGGTCTGTGGCTGTATCTTACCATTATATGGGTCTTCCTGGGTCTGTGGCTGTATCTTACCATTCTCTGGGTCTTCCTGGGTCTGGATCATACCATTATCTGGGTCTTCCTGGGTCTGGGGCTGTATCGCACCATTCTCTGGGCCTTCCTGGTCTGTGGCTGTATCTTACCATTATCTGGGTCTTCCTGGTCTGTGGCTGTATCTTACCATTCTCTGGGTCTTCCTAGGTCTAAGGTTGTATCTTCCCATTCTCTGGGTCTTCCTGGGTCTAGGGTTGTATCTTACAATTCTCTGGGTCTTCCTGGGTCTGTGGCTGTATCTTACCATTCTCTGGGTCTTCCTGGGTCTGTGGCTGTATCTTACCATTCTCTGCGTCTTCCTGGGTCTAGGGTTGTATCTTACCATTCTCTAGGTCTTCCTGGGTCTGTGGCTGTATCTTACCATTCTCTGGGTCTTCCTGGGTCCGTGGCTGTATCTTACCATTCTCTAGGTCTTCCTGGGTCTGTGGCTCTATCTTACCATTCTCTGGGTCTTCCTGGGTCTGGATCGTACCATTCTCTGGGTCTTCCTGGTCTGTGGCTGTATCTTACCATTCTCTGGGTCTTCCTGGGTCTGTGGCTGTATCTTACCATTATATGGGTCTTCCTGGGTCTGTGGCTGTATCTTACCATTCTCTGGGTCTTCCTGGGTCTAGGGTTGTATCTTACCATTCTCTGGGTCTTCCTGGGTCTGTGGCTGTATTTTACCATTATATGGGTCTTCCTGGGTCTGTGGCTGTATCTTACCATTCTCTGGGTCTTCCTGGGTCTGTGGCTGTATCTTACCATTCTCTGGGTCTTCCTGGGTCTGTGGCTGTATCTTACCATTCTCTGGGTCTTCCGGGGTCTAGGGTTGCATCTTACCATTCTCTGGGTCTTCCTGGGTCTAGGGTTGTATCTTACCATTCTCTGGGTCTTCCTGGGTCTAGGGTTGTATCTTACCATTCTCTGGGTCTTCCTGGGTCTGGGGCTGGGGCTGGCACCGTATGAATAGTAGTTGAGTGTGGCGTACTCCATCAATGCAGCGAACACAAACAGGAAACACACAGTGACGAAGAGGTCCATGGCCGTCACGTAGGAAACCCTGGGTAGTGACGTCCTGGACACTGTGCTCAGAGTGGTCATGGTCAACACCGTGGTTATCCCTGGATAGGAAAGAGAGACCCCATCTTCAGCTCTGTTTCTGGTTTCTATACTATAAATTCAGCACCAACTTTCTCCACAGCCTTTCAGTACAGTGTCTTACCAGTACAGTGTCTTACCAGTACAGTGTCTTACCAGTACAGTATCTTTCAGTACGGTATCTTTCAGTACAGTGTCTTACCAGTACAGTATCTTACCAGTACAGTATCTTTCAGTACGGTATCTTACCAGTACAGTATCTTACCAGTACAGTGTCTTACCAGTACAGTATCTTACCAGTACAGTGTCTTACCAGTACAGTGTCTTACCAGTACAGTATCTTACCAGTACAGTGTCTTACCAGTACAGTGTCTTACCAGTACAGTATCTTACCAGTACAGTGTCTTACCAGTACAGTGTCTTACCAGTACAGTGTCTTACCAGTACAGTGTCTTACCAGTACAGTGTCTTACCAGTACAGTGTCTTACCAGTACAGTATCTTTCAGTACGGTATCTTATCTGTCAGGACATATTGTGCTCTTTTTTCAGCTGCCGTTAAGCGCAATTGTCAAACACACGCTCGTTTGCAATTTCAACCTGTTAAAGCCGGTGCTCTTCTATTCTCAAACCCTAGTACCAGGATCAATAATTTACCTGTCTTATATGAGCTCTGCACTGAGGTGTGTCCCTAGAAACGTGTACTAAAGTACCAATTTCAGTATGTGCTGGTGGGGATATTTAAGACCAACTGAAAGCTGGTCTAAGCGGTAACTCGGGTGGTTATGGCATGGATTTCGACAGCAGAAGCGCAGCCTATCCAACTGTAACACACAGCGTCCATAAACCTTGTATTTAGAAACATAAAAAACTCATGTTTTTTCAGATTTTGTTAGTTTGATTAAAAATCAAGAATAGCCTCCCCTCCTCAATTAAGGCAGTTTTCTTTTTTATGCCCAATGCATTCGCCAATAGTCAAAACTATCGATCATCTTAATCAACAAAGCTTTATTGAAAGTTTGGCAGCAGCAAAACAGTGAGCAGACCTCCTCTTTTTATCTATAGGCTATTACATTAATTTATACAGCTCTGTCATTATTGTGGATTAATCCCCCTCCATAGAGGCTATCTGGAACGAGAGATGAGATAATCCAGTGCCACTCTTATTTAGAAGCATTTAAGTTATTTTCCTGTAACAATTTCTTGTTTTTCATTTTGTTTGATTAAAAACCACTACCCTACTTTAACGAAAACTGGTTCAACAGCAATGCATCTAGAGTCTTTGTCATTCTGGCCATGCTTCAGCCAAGGAGCCTATCCACAAAACGTTTCTAAATCATAATAATATAAATAATAATAATATGCCATTTAGCAGACGCTTTTATCCAAAGCGACTTACAGTCATGTGTGCATACATTTTTACTAAATGGTCTACTCATGATCCAGTTAGGTGTGCTTGTCATCCTGACCATGCTTCAGCCAAGTAGCCTATCCATAAAACGTTTCTAAATGTTCTACTGGTGAGGCTTTTGCATCGTTCACAATTCACATAGGCCTGCGTGCAATTCACACTCCATTTGGCTTGTATCCATCCCCATTTCTAAAGAGCGCCTCTTGTCCTGTTACCAAAGACTTTCTCCTCCAAACAGGCTACTCAAATGATTCAGTCCTACAACACCATATCAACAGTAGTCCTAGGATACATCTGGCATATTGAGAACGTGCCTCACACATACAATACAATTCTCTGGAACCTAGTATTTGTTATTAGAGGACTAAGTGATGCATAAAGGCTTATAGTCCTTGAAGCCGATTACAACAATGTTGACTGTAAACACTCCAAACATACTGAGGAAACACTGGATGTTTTTCTTTGTTACTGTTGCCATCACTCGTTACTGTAAGCCTACACTATTTAATAAACGATCAATCCACCACGGACCAGGACTAGAACAGTCCGTGCCCACAGACACACCGGAGTTGATGACAATGCAAAGTCCATCAATAACCTACAGAACTTGAGACAAACACATGCAGTGCTAAGCCATGGGAACGGCCAGTGAGTGGTCAAGCCCTCGTCACACCTAAAACCCAGCAGCACCGCCAGCTATTGCACTCATAATAACTAGTGTGAAAACCGCCAGACCTATAGCCAGAGCTTAGATTTACCATTGGTTATCTTTGTTAAAATAGAGCCCTTTATGTTATTGACAGGGGAAGACAGCATCACTCTCTCTTCATATCCCAGACCATCCCCCCCCAGACTGTTCTCATGTCATATTCCTTCATATATCAAAAACTGCTAGGTTGGAAAGATAACAGACAAAAAGAGGGGCGTAGAGAGGAGAAGAGAGAGGAGCGAGAGAGAGAGAGGAGAGAGAGAGAGGAGAGAGAGAGAGAGACCTAAGAGCAAAAGAGAGAGAGAGAGAGGAAGAGGAGAGGAGAAAAGCGAGAGAGAGAGAGGAGATGGAGCGAGAGAAAAAGAGAGAGAGAGAGCGAGAGATACGAGAGATGCCAACTATCAAACACACAAGATCTGCTATGTACCTCTATATCTCTGTACCACCCCATCTTCTCTTATATGTGGTCTCTCATCTCTCTGTCCCTCTCTCTATTCTACCTATCCCCAATCCTTTCTTTCCCTTCTAATAGCCCTACTCCTTAGTTATCCACCCCTCTCTCTCTCCCTCCTACTCTCTCTATACGCACTCTCTTCCCTCTAACTATGCGCTCTCTTTATATATCCTAGTTCTCTCTCTCTATCTATTTCTCTCGCTCTCCCTCTCTCTCTCTCTCTCTCGATTTCTCCATCTCCCTCTCTCCCTCCCTCTCGCTATCTTCTCTTATATTTCAATTTCAATATTAATTTAAAAGGCTTTATTGGCATGGGAAACATATGTTTACATAATAATAATAATAATAATAATAATAATAATAATAATAATTAACAGTAAACATTACACTGACAAAAGTTCCAAAAGAATAAAGACAAATTAAAATGTCATATTATGTCTATATACAGTGTTGTAACAATGTGCAAATAATAGTTAAACGCTCAAGTTGACTGTTTTTTAAATCTTATTTCTTGTTTGTTTTCACGAGAAAAAATATTTTGCATCTTCAAAGTGGTATAAATGTTGTATAAATCAAATGATACAAACCCCCCCAAAATCAATTTTAATTCCAGGCTGTAAGGCAACAAAATAGGAAAAATGCCAAGGGGGGTGAATACTTTCGCAAGCCACTGTACTGTTGCTGCATAAATGAGGGAGATATGTATACTGTAGCTAAGAAAGTAATACTAAGTGTATGTTGTGTAGTAAGCTGTTAGTAGCCCATGTTCCTCACCCTAATAATTTGGTCCCTTTTCCCCCTCATAACTTAGCCTACTGTTCTGACTTGGTGGTGCACATGTAGCCTATAGCCTGTTTTAGAGAAATGTAATCATTGAATATTGTAAGAGCTTTCATTGTCTGCTTATATGCCCCCTTTATTTATCCTACGGTTCTGACTTGGTGTTCAGGGAGAACACTGTAAGAACGGCCCATGTTCTGAATTCTGTCGCTGTGCATTTCAAAAGTGCTAATCAAATAGTCATATTGACTACGTCCGTCCTAGCTCGCTCATTAATGTCTTAATCCAAATTACGGATTGCCTCTTATCCGCTCGTCGTCCCCTTATGCCATAGTTTGTACATCTCAATTGTCAGTAGAAACCACATTTGTTTAAGCAAGTCAGCCATATCAGCTATGTTTTTTTAAAAGGCAGTAAATGAGGCTGAATGAACTGTTTCGCTGCCATACAAGGCTCCACTGATAGCCAGGTGTAGCAGTGGCAAAGGATTCACTCCATGGTGCTGAAAAGAAAGCTCTGCTGTTGGGCCAGCTTTATGGAGGCCCTGACAGTTTGTGGGCACCGTTTGTTATAGTTATAGTGCAATTAATGTATTGTTTAGTGTTGTGTAGTGGCTTTGCATCCCACATATTTTGGGGGGGGTGTTTGCCCCACCAAGATTTACAAGCAAAAATCGCCACTGGTCTCACCCCACGGCCCTGTGGAAAGAAATGTGTGTGTTTTTTGCCAATTTTAACCTCACAATATTCGTTTGTGTAGATGGATTATATAATGTCATATGTTTTCCCCCAACACCACTTTCCATCAATTTGGAAATCAACAAAGCATGAGAAGACTTTGCCTTTGTTTTTGTTTTGTTTGTTTGTCAATTAGGGTGTGCAGGGTGAATACGTGGTCTGTTGTTTTTGGTAAAAAGCCAATTTGACATTTTGCTCAGTACATTGCTTTCACTGAGGAAATGTGCGATTCTGCTGATAATGCAGAAGAATTTCCCAAGGTTGCGGTTGACGCATATCCCATAGTAGTTATTGGGGTCAAATTTGTCTCCACTTATGTGGATTGGGGTTATCAGTCCTTTCTTCCAAATATTGGGGAAGACGCCAGAGCAGAGGATGATGTTAAAGAGTTTAAGTATAGCCAAGTGGTATTTGTGGACTGTATATCTAATCATTTCATTCAGGATACCATCAACACCACAGGCCTTTTTGGGTTGGAGGGTTTGTATTTTGTCCTGTAGTTCATTCAATGTAATTGGATAATCCAGTGGGTTCTGGTAGTCTTTAATAGTTGATTCTAAGATTTGTATTTGATCATGTATATGTTTTTCTTGTTTGTTCTTTGTTATAGGGCCAAAAGGATTGGAGAAGTGGTTTACCCATACATCTCTGATTTGGATAGATAGCTCTTCGTGTTGTTGTTTGTTTAGTGTTTTCCAATTTTCCCAGAAGTGGTTAGAGTCTATGGATTCTTCAATTACATTGAGCTGATTTCTGACATGCTGTTCCTTCTTTTTCCGTAGTGTATTTCTGTATTGTTTTAGTGATTCACCATAGTGAAGGCGTAGGCTCAGGTTTTCTGGGTCTCTATGTTTTTGGTTGGATAGGTTTCTCAATTTCTTTCTTAGGTTTTTGCATTCTTCATCAAACCATTTATCACTGTTATTACTTTTCT